GGGCTGCCGCGCTGAGCCGAAAAACAGCTGATCAGCTGTTTGTCGGCTCCGTGCGCTAGTCTGGACGCTACCCTGTTGAAATGAAAGCCTTTTATCGACATCCCCGGTAAACCTCATCCTACGAGGCATAACGGGGATGTCGATAAAAGGCTTTCAGGTCGGCGCGGGAGCGTCCAGACTAGCGCGCTGAGCCGGCACACAGCTTATCAGCTGTTTGTCGGCTCAGTGCTGCAGCCATGTAAATTTAAATGAAGCTGCGATTATTTAAATCGCGGCTTCATTTCCCTTTGCCTACAACACTCATCTACATGGCTCCATCGATGGAGCCATTTAGTCTAGACACAGCCATTGATTTCAAAACAAATCATCCAGATTCTGCTGTATTATTTAGTAGGTGGATGTTTAATGTTTCATTTTCTTCTTATCAGTATAATCATTATTGGAGTTGTCTATAAGGCGAATATCTCTGAAATCTAGTTGCACTTTACAGTCACTAGGGAAATATTAAATATCTTTGCTTTTGTGACTGTCCACACTAGATGGCTCTGTTTCTTGAGTCAGGTTCAGAGACAGCAGATTGCAAACATTTCCAGGCAGATGGACTAGATGACCTCACACAGCATTTTCCATCAATAAGGAGTTTGATTCTGATAAGATAAGATCTCTTTGTCCATTAGAAATAATAGGTCCAGTTTTGCATTTCTTCCTCAGACACAGACACTGATGTCAATGGGAGTTTTGGTATCTTATTCAAGATTGAAGGATTTAGCCCATAGTTAATTATGTTCTTAAAGGCTAAAGTCAGATTCTTAAAATTAAAAACTAGTATCTCTCAATTACTACTTAAGGCTGTACTTAAAGATCCTAGATAGTTAGCTGCCTTTTGAAACCTGTAAAGGAGTTTTGTAAAGGTGTCTCCATTCCTAATATGAATCAGTCTCTTGAATCTTTTGTTAGACTGATACTGAAACTAATGTACAGAAGTGTTTTTGCAATATTTAAACAAAAATAATTTCTGGGTTTTATAAATTGTTGTTAAAGGAGTCACATATTTTAACTCTAGTTCAGACATCAATATTTTGCATTTATCTTCTTGGCTATCAACCTCCAGTATTTCCAGACACATAATGTAGATACAGATAGCTCAACAAATGCCATGTTCCTCCTGAACAGCCTTATGACCTTTCAATATTGCCACTTCTCCATGCACTTTCAGTTATGGAAAAGATCATCTATTTCTATATGGTCAAATGCCTTTTCCACATCTAGAGAAGGTTTCTTCAGTGCCCCCTGCATTGGGATGATCAACTGCAAGTTGAACAACATGCATATATTTATCCTTCAGTTTTCCACTGACAGTCTCAGTGCTGCCAATCCCAAGCATTCAAAACTCACTAATTAAGCCCCCATATTCAAGAAATAGTCTTAAAAATCATTAGATTTTTTTAAATAAGAAATCTGGGGTTCTTTTATTTGGTTTCTGGTTTTTAGGGTTCATGCTTTCAAGATTTACCTACAATCATGGGGACCAGAAACATACTTTTTTTAAATAGCAACTAAGATTGACTCCAGGTGCTGGATGTTTAAAAAAATCCATTGAATGCCAAGAGACTTATAATGAAATCACAACAGTTGGCAGGTACTTCCACTCATCAGGCTACCTGAGTGGAAGTACCTGGCAAAAAGCCCTAGCTAGGTCAGTATACACTACAATTTCAAACAGACAATCATTTGTTTATACAGCTCTGTAAACTAAACACTGAAATGTAAGTACGATATTTATACTCCAATTGATTTATTTTATAACTATATGTTAAAAATGAGAAAGTATTTTTTTCAGTAATAGTGTTCTGTGACACTTTGGTATTTTTATGTCAGATTTTGTAAGTTTTTAAGTAAGGTGAATCTTGGTAGTACACAAAACAAATCAGACTTTTGAAAGAGGTACAGTTGTCTGGAAAGTTTGAGAGTCACTGGTCTACATAAACAACTTAATGCACAGCATGACAGTGCCCTAAAGAAATCAAACCCCCAAAGTGCATCACCCCACCACATAGCCACACCCATAGTTGCACTCATCCTAGGTCATAAGCAGCAGAGCTGACAGCCTCCTCAGGTCCCTGGGCAGTGGGGGGGAGGGGCAGCTCCAATCTCCTGGAAGGGTCAGGGCTAAAGACAGAAGGGACAGGGCTGAGGACTAACCAGAGCACTATGTGCACAGCCTATCACTCCAGTGGCAATTTAAAGGGCCTGGGGCTCCGGCCGCCACTGCTATCTCAGCCCCATACCCCTTTGAATTTCCTGGCCCCAGGGCAATTGCCACCTCTCCTCCCCACCCCAGTCAGAGGACCTGGCTACCAGCTAGCCTTTGCACTCAGTTATGCCACTGAAATCAGGCATAATTTCACTGAGAATGATTCTGAATTTACATCAGTTTAGCTGAGAAATGAATCTGGCCCCTGACATCAAGGTCAGAGTGTGTGTGTGCATGTGCATGTGTGTGCACACGAGCACGCCTGTCTGTCTGTTCATCCATCTGAAGTCAAACTGGTAAGGAGTCATCACACACATTGACACTTCATAATCTAAATGCAGGGGAAACTGGTGATCACAGATACCACTGTGTGGCATCAGTTGGCAAATGTGTTTTGTGATACTTACAGGATGTGAAAGCTTATCTGTGAATTGAGTTGATCTAGAAAAACTACACCAAAACGCAAGGAACCAAATCTTGCCCTGGATAGACTAGGTCACTCTAGGAGAAGAAGATGGTGGTGAGAAATGATCCAGTCACCTGTGCAATAATAGCGCAAGATACCAAACACTCAGTGGAGTGCTATAGGACTGGCTATTGTGCATTCAAGCTCTAAGGGCTGTAGCTCAATGGGCTGCTGGCCAGAGAGGCAGCTAGGTCTTCACCAGGTACCACATATGCTAGAGTGCACACAAAGTGGAGGAAGATGTGCAGTCAGAGAAGCAGTATGCAACCTACCACATAGTCATCCCAATCACCATGAGCAATCCTGCCTTCCTAATCATACCATCAAAAAACAAAGGCAGGGTATAGACCTAAATAAGCTATTCAGTAGGGATGGGCAAATCACTGGGGATCGAGTTAGAATGGATTCTAGCCCAAAACTTAGATCAAATCTAAATTTTGCTGATTTCCAAAGAGTCAAATCAACTATTTAGTGTACATCTTCACATCCTGGTATTGATTGGGATTCAAATTAGAAGTAACAAAATACAGCAAGAAAGCCTGTTCTGACTTGACCAAAACTCAAAGCATCAGAAGTCTCACACATATTCACCATGCAAATTTTCCAGACCCAAGACACTAAACCAAGCTTGAATAAACATCCAGACATTTCGATGCCTGACTGAACTGATGAATCTTTTGACATATGTCCAGAAATATTTATGACTTCCAGTTTAAAAATACACAAGTTGTTCCACTCTCTACACCCTGAAACTTTTTGTTTTAACTTAAGTCCTCTAGCATTTCAACTCATTTAAAGTCAGATGCCATCTGTTCTGTGGGACACTGCTAAGGTCTTTTCTTTATCTTTCAAATCCTCAGATAATGTGAGCGCATTTGAATGCATATCACCATTTATGTGTAACTATATAACAGGGCTCATGATACCATCTACATGTTTTGTTAGTCTTTAAGTTGCTACTAGACTATTTGTTGGTTTTTAAGTTTTTACATGCAGTATAGTTATCGCCCAGAACTATTTCAAAGCCTTTTCCATGTTTTTGTTTTGCTTGGTACATAGATGCTTATCATGCATCTCAGACTAAGCAATGCTGATGTAACCCTGACTGACTGTTTGGAATATAGCCAAAAGCATTAATTGCATGAATAAGGAAACCTATGTGTATACTTACGCTACAATACCAGAGAGATGAAACATTTCTGCAGTGAGATAGGATAGGTAACTGTACAGGAAGACAAAGAGGGGTTCAATTACACGGATATTCTTGGTAAATCGTGTGGTAAAGGCAGCAATCATCCCGAATAAAAGGCCTACCAATACCCCTCCTATTCCAACCACAAAAAATTTCCCAATTCCTGCAAATACATCCACGGTTTTGATTGTTGACATTTCACAAAAGGATCTAAACAGCTTGTACAGCACCTAAAGGGAGATGGGGACAAAAGGAAAAAGAGAAAAAAACAAACATTAGCTAGAGATGACAGCAGACAATGAAATATCATTTCACCACTTGTGCCTATATGGTGAAATACTTCTCTAGTTTTGTGACAATGACAGCCTGTTTTTTTACCAATAGGTTTTGCCTCATAAGTACACAAATACCCAATGAAAACAAAACAACTTCTTGTATCAACATCAATGGGCTTTGACACAGAGCCTGAATAATCCTGAAGTGCGGCACTTTGCAGGATGTTGGACTTAAATATTTTCCTATAAGTTCTGGCTGGTGATTAAAATGGACAATTTCATGCTATTCTACAATCCAAATTTGATGTAGATTTTTTTATTCTCCCTCCCTGATTTTTTATTCTCCCTCTTCTTTACAGGGAAGATAAATTGTTGAGAAATGGACCTGAAATTTGTGTTTTCCTATAATTCTTCTATATAAACGAGAACAGTATGTAGTATAAAAGATACTGTGATAGGCAATGCCTGACTCCAGCTGCAGAATCTTATTTTGAACCCACCAGAAGAAATTGATATTACTGAGTCAGCATATTAGGTCCAATCCTCAATGCCCAAACCTCACACGAAACAAAAGACTGGGCACCTTAGAAATATTAGAGACACTTTAGATAAACTTTATTTATTTATTACAATAATTTATTGAGTGCTGATAGTCTGCTCAGCATTGTACAAACTAGGGATGAAATAATGTAGTCTATTAACTGATTAACCGATAAGCAAAAGTTTATAGGTTAATGCTACAGCCACACTCATTTCCCTCTCCTCCCCTCCCCCCACCACCAATAAATTTTTTAGCAGTCTGGCCACCAGCCCAGCTCAGTCCTAGCTTGCACTAGATCTGGGAGTTCAGACATGCCCCCTAGACAGGGGCTGATGGCACCTCACGCTGCTGCCTCTCTATCTGAGGCAACAGCACAGGGCGACAGGCAGCCAGTCCGCGAGGGGAGCTGGTTTTTAAACTGGCTCCCCTTGCAGACCAGCTCCCTCCTGGCATCCCACGTTGCTGCCTCTGATACAGAGGCAGCAGTGTGGAGTGGAAGGGGGATCCTTGGGAGGGGGGCCAGAGCACACTGGCTGCTGGCTCCACCACCAGGGACTATAGACTAGTCAAATAACCGATAAGAATTCATGAGGTTACTTGACTATTCAGTTAACTGATATTTAACATTCCTAGTGTAAACTACACATATTGGACATTTCCCCTCTCACAGATCTCACTATTCCAGGGCTCAACTGTGCAATCTTTACCCACCCTGGTGAACACTGAAATCAGTGGGACTGCTCTTGTGTAATAGCTCATCACCGTTTAAATGCGCACTGTTATGTGAACCCTCTGTGCTTTCCCGGGATCCGTCAGCAGATCTCTTCCAGCTTCAGGGCTCCCCTGCTGCACCCCCTCTCCTCTGCTGCCAGGGCTCCATGGCTTTGGGGCCACCAGGGCTCTGCTGCCCCAGAGCCATTGAGGCTCCATCACCTTAGGGATGCAGGGGCCACTGCTTCAGCTCCACTCCCTGCCGCTTGGCTCCTAGAGCTCTGTGGTCATGGGGCTCTCTGGTCCAGCACCCTCCATGGTTCTGCTGGACCAAAGAGTACCAGACCACAGAGGATTGGGGTTTAGTTCACAGCAGAAAAAAAAATGAGAAAGGTGAATTCTAAAACATACCTGTTCCTATTATGACACTGCAGCAAGTGACAATAACAATACTTTAAACAATTATAGGGCCTGCAAGGTGCTGAGCTGGCTCCAAAGAACACTTCATAGAGCCACAGTTTTTAAGGCCTGAGGGACCATTACGACCACAGTCTGACCTCCTGCGTAATACATCTCTGAGATGGGCTGATTTCAATGGGAGCTGAGGCCACTCAGCACCAGATTTATGTTTTCTTATGTCACCAATAATTACAGCAACAGTATATTTTTGCTTCAGTTCTTTCAATATAGTTTGTTGACTGGAAAGATCCCACTTGCAAAATCTAATTCCCATATTGATTATATTTCTGAAACAAAACCTGTTAGGCTTCTCCACAAATTTTTTTTTTTCTCTCATATCTTTAGTGTCTTCAAGTGTCAATATTAACTGGAGGAGGAAGTTACTGAGAAAAGATTGTAAATATTATATTGTTAATTGTGTGTTTAGAACTGATCCTATTCTATAACCCTTTGCACTGCAGACAGTTAATGAGAAATCTCTATAAAAATCAATGGGCCACATTCCATGGACCTTTTCTACACTAAAAAAACGTACACTACTCTAATCATGACTGCTTCCCTATAAGGTAGAGAAGTGCTATTGTCCCCATTATACAGCTGGGGAGCTAAGGAACAGCAAGTTAAGGGACTTGCCCAAAATCATACAGGAAGTCTTTGACAGGACAGGGAATTTAATGAGGGTTTCTTGAGTCCCAGACTAGCACTAGGGACCATCCTTCCTCTATGCACTAAATACAAACCTAAGGAATAGTACTTACAACTGAGACAGCATCATTTAGGAGCGATTCTCCAAAAACCAAAATGTGAAGCTTTTCATTGACATGTATCTCTTCAAACACAGATAACACCGCTACGGGATCCACTGCAGCAATCAGACTGCCAAACAAGAGATTATGGAGCAACGATATATCTTGCAGGTGAAAGGATTTCACTTGGCATATCCCATACAGTGAGAAGCCAATCCCAAACACATTCCATATAGTTCCCACTACTGCATACAGAAGAATAGTCCCAATGTTCTCAAAAAAGGGACGGCTGGGCATAAAATAACCTGCATCAAGGACTATAGGTGGCAGTAAATAAAGAAAGAAGATATCGCTGTCCATGACCGGTGGGGACTTGTCATTTAAGCCATAGATGATTCCTCCCATGATGAGTCCCACAAATATCAGTAAGCAGCTTTCAGGCACAACCGACGGCAGCTTGTTATACAGATGAAATGCTGGTGAAGGATAGAGAGATGACATCATTATCCAGAATCAACATAATACGCTGATATAATCATTTCATTACATTTTTCTAAAATACAAAAGAGAAATCAATCCACTTTGTAACTTTTTAGCAGCAGGTATTGTGGGGTGCGAACAGATGCTGTTAATAATAATAAATGATAATAATAATTTTCCAGCTGAAAAGTTACAGACTTAATACCAGTAGGAATCTTTAGGTGAGCATGAAGTAAATTTTTAAAATGCTTTAAATGTTGGTAAAATGCGAAGTTGATGAATAAATAGCATGCTTTAAAAAACTTAAAAAACCACAAATGATCCTGCAACACATTAGAGACTAACAAAACATGTAGATGGTATCATGAGTTTTAGTTGGCACAACTCACTTCTTCAGGAGCTACAGGACTATTGGTAGTTTTTTAAGTTTATTAAGTAAGGGTACATCTACACTAGCCCCCTAGATGGATATAGGGAGCAGGGGCAGCCCGTCCATATAGGTGAACTAGGCAGTCGCCTAGGGTGCCAAGTTAAATGGGGCGCCAAATGGTGGCGCAAAATCATTACGGGGTTTGGAGGTGGGGGCGCCGATTGCATGGTTCGCCTAGGGCACCAGTTGCTGGCAGGTAGTCTAGGGCCCTCCCTGCTAAGGAGGCTAATGAGGGTGACCGAAATTGCAAATCAAGCCTGGGATTTAAATATCCCGTGCTTGATTTACACGTTCCCGGCCGGCCACCATTTTAGAAATTGAGTAGCCCAAAGTAACTGCCTGCGTCTACACGCTGCAGTGAAATGGGATTCCAATTTAAAGCCCTAACTCAAATTAGTTGGTATTGCTCCTTCAATGAGGTTTACCAGCTAATTCGATTTAGGGGCTTTAAATCAGAATCCCGTTTCACTGCCGCATTTAGACACGGGCAGTTACTTCGGGCTAGTCAATTTCTAAAATGGTGACCGGCCAGGAACATGCAAATCAAGCATGGTATATTTAAATCCCGGGCTTGATTTGCAATTTCGGTCACCCTCAATCGCCTCCCTAGATCGATTTAGGGGGCTAGTGTAGACGTACCCTTACAGACTAACACAGCTACCCCTTTAAAGCTTTTTAGCATGCTATAGCACCTTTCATCCAGGAAGATCCCAAAGTGCTTCATAGATGTATATACTCTACTGAAATACAGCCAAATTTTGGGTGAAACCAGCCATCTCATTACATCACATCACTAGACAACCTTCTTAAAGGGAAGGTGAAGAATAGCATAGATCTACTTTGCACAGATCTAATCTAGAGAGATATTCCTACAACACAAGTCATGAAATGACAAACGGAAATAGACCAAACTCAAATGGAAAAACAAGAATTTTTTTTTTTATCAAACATTTGTATTGATTGTTGGTATTACCAGAACTGGGCTCCTAGAGTACTAGGTGGTGTAGAAACATAAAACATAAGACTGTCTCTGCTCCAAAGACCTTACAATGTAAATAGGCATCAGATATTTCATATTTCTGAATAATTGCCTTAGGTTAAGGGGCTTCTGCAGTACTAATGAAGGGAGGGTGAATGGTGTTCATAGCCTGTATTCATCATTTCCCTTCTGTCACTATATTAGCCTTTTGCCTAAAGTATTCATGGAGATGGGCTGGATCTTTGCTCCGCTCCTCATTCTTAACTCCACTGATATCAATGGGAGATCCATGTGCAGAAATGTGAAAGCAGGCACATAGTGAAGGATTATTATTCCCATTTGTAATTTGTTATTCCAGTTATATAACTGCACAATTCCAACTCCCATTATCCTTACAGGATCTCCTCTCTCCTAGATACAAGTGCACAGTTCTTAAGTTCTCCATGCATAGACTTCAGATAGCTTTGGAAAGTCACTGCCATTTGCACATGTAGTACTACAACCTAACAAGCAATTGTGTGGAGGTTTTTTTTTTCCATTTGAAAACATGGCAAATCAGTGTACAGTATGTGCAAAGAAACAATCAGACCAGGGGGCTCTTTACTTTGACAGCCTGTCTACAAGTAGCCCGACCTGATGCTCCAGAGGTGAGAGGCTTTCCGTTTAAGCAGCTCAATGCCTCAGTGAAAAGACCTTGTTCTCTTCTAGCTAGCCCAAGATTTAAAAAATACTCTTGATAATCCACTTCCCACTGGAGCTTCCCCAGGTTATGAGAAGCTGGCTGGGAAGTGCACGTGTTGACAGACTTTTCTTATCCAAGGCATTTCAGTCAGACATTGGGCAGGATGGAGCACTCAGAGCCCTGGTCTATACTAGGGAGTTATTTCGAAATAACCCCCCTTATTTCAAAATAACAAGCGGAGCGTCCACACTACCAACCTCGTTATTTTGAAATAACAGGCTTCTTATTTTGACATCTGTACTCCTGCTTTTCTCAGGGAATAATGCTTATTTCAAAATAGTTGTTTTGAAATAGTGTTAGTGTGAATTCCCTGCTGCTGTTCTTTCAAAATAACTACTCCCCGGAGTAACTCAAAGTAATTACTCCTCAGTGCTTCCTGGGGCTTTAAGTCAAAGTAGCACATCCACAATAATGGAGCCTGCCTCGGACCAATTTTGAGGCTCCTCTGTAGTGTGGACACGCTATTTTGATTTTGTTATTTTGGGAGTGGATTATTTCGAATTTAGTTATTTTGAAATAACTTCTAAGTGTAGACATGCCCAGAGAGACTCTTGCTTAGGAATGGGAAGGGTTTTAGGCAAGGGCTTTCTACCCTAGCTGGGGCTTAGTGATAACATGTTCAATGCAGGGAACTAGTTCTCAGAATATCCCTCCCCTGTCTGAGCCCCCACCCCCTCCTTCTCCTGCTGCAGCCCAGAAGAAACCTGGCTCCTTACCTATTTTGGCCAGAGAAGCTAGCATGATCCAAAGCGTTATTTCAAAGGGAACCTGCACATGCTGATAATCCAGGGAGAAGAAGACTGTGTGCTCGGAGGATTCATTATTGTGGGTTTCCTGGGACTCCCAGCTGGCATTCTCTGGGCCAGTGTCGTCGGGGGGCAGCAGCAACGGTCCCTGGAGGGCACAGACCACAGGAGCACCCAGCAGCAAGCACAGGCAAGTGCCCAGCATCCATCTTGCTGCAGCCTCTGATGCCAGCCTCTTCCTCTCCATGTGCCCCGGGATCTGTCTGCCCTGGCAAGTTGGGGCTGGCTACTGCCCAGCTCCGGGCTGCTGCTGCTGCTGCTGCTTCTGCTCTGGCCTGAGTGGCTCCTGCCTAACAGGACTGGCAGAACACAGCCTACCCTCCGTGCGTGGGTGTGCATGCAAGCAGGAGTCACTCAGCAGCCCAGCCAATCTCGGGGTTTGCACACAGAGAAAGTCTCGCACTCAGCCGCAAGGTACTTAGTGTCTGCTTCCAGGAAAGCCTTGCAAACATCTGACAAAGTGGTTTTTACCCATGAAAGCTTATGCTCCAAAAAATCTGTTAGTCTTTAAGGTGCCATAGGACTTCTTGTTGTTTTTGCAGATATAGACTAATGTGGCTACCTCTCTGAAACTCCTAGTGTGTGTGTGTCTGTGCATGTATGGGGAGAGGGAGAGAGAAAAGCTGAATCCTTAATGTTTTTAGTTTAAGACACACAAATTCTGCTGCTTAACTGGAGAGCAAGTCTAACTGCTCCTTCTGCACCCTAAAACCCCAGATCCTGAGGCAACAGCAAAACTGGATCCTCCAGCACCCTCTGTGGAAGCCCTAGAATTAGGTGGCTAGGGCCTCAAGCCAGCCACCTCCAAATGGAATTATTCCAAACCCCGCCCCCCCCCCCCCCCCAGTCTAGTTCCTCCACAGATTGCTGGTGTAGATGATGCCTCTGCCCAATGCATCTTCTCTTTGGTAAACCAGAGAGTTTGGCAAAGCACAGTATCCACCAAAAATAACTACAGCCAACTGATACAATCACTTAACAAAGCATGAAGCTGGAAGGACTAGGATGGAGGCTATCTCAATAATGAATATAAATTACAGCACTAGCTTATTAACGCCTCTGTCTGGAGCAGAAGAGAGAGAGATTTTTTCTGTGTTTCTTTTTATGCAAAGCACTCAGCTACCACAGGGATGAGAGGTGGGGGCATAGAAACTAAAGGGGAGGAGAGAGAGAGAGAGATGTCATTTAAATACCGTCCCTGAACTATGGTTATTGATTTCTTGGCCATTTCTTTTCAGAACAGTGCCTTCAGCTGCAGCAGCCACTGTGGCCACGGAGAAGGATCAGGAATTGGAATCTACTGACTTCAAGGGCTACTCTCCCACCCACTTTGGGAGGCAGTTTATTTGTTTGAGACATTATCAGACACATTAATAATGTGCAGGGTGAAACAAAGAAGGTCAAATTCTGCCATGGTTTAGTTTCACGAAAATTAGGAATGTTTCACCAGGGATAAATTTAGCCCACACATCACAATTAAAATCAGGGAGCCCCAGGCTGCTACTGGTCTAATCGATGACCCATTTTTTTCCTTCAGTTGCCCAAAGGACACCAAACCTGAGCTGCTAATGACATATTGGTGATCCATTTTTTCTGTAATGGAGAGCTGGATAGGAAACCAAAATCATACATGTATGTACCCTTTGTTTGTCAGTGGCACACCATGTCCTAATTTCTGACATTATTTTGAAAGGCAGAATAATAGGAATCTTGGGAAGCAGCGATACATTCTGAAAGCTTTCCTCCTTCCCCGTTTAACATGATTGTCTGCATTAATACTGAGCCTTGCTTTCCTGACTTCTGAGCAAATTGAGATTTCAAGAGTTTTGGCAAAATATTCTCCTTTGTTCAGAAAAAAATGACAGGAAGGAATCCTGGAGCAGGGAAACCCTATTGGGTTCCCTTTGTGCATTTCCCCATCATCATGCCTTGGAGTGGGGAATAAGGCTCATCACACTTTGGAATATATGTGGGTTAAGCATATGTGTACTGTTCCTTTAAATATTGAACAGGAAGTTTGGTGGTAGGGGGCTGAATTGATCTAGGCAGAAGTTTTACAGTGAAACTAAAAAGAGGCAGAAGAGTAAAGAACATGCGAATAAATGTCCTTGTTCAGTGTCGGAAGAAAGTGACCCTGTGATCATTTATATTTTTTCACATGACATGGGATGTTTTGCCTCCAGAATCCACCGAGTCTGTGATAACTCTAGGAGTAGGGTACCCCTAAGTAAAATGAGACACCAGCCTGTGTGGGGCGGGCTTGAGCTACCTGCTCTTGCCACTCGCCTGAGCCCTGAACCTCTTGGGGCTGTGGCTGAGTACCTGAACCCTGCTCTGCTTGTGGCTGGGGCTGACACCCAGAGGCTGGAGCTGGGTCTGACTGCGTAAGTTCCATGCTGCCCAGGGCTGACAGCCCAAGCCCTGCCACCCAGTGCCTTGCATTGCCACTGAGCCCCAAATGTTCTTCTGAGCCCCTTCCTGGAATGCATCCCACTTTTTGGGGAAAAGAGGAGGTTACCTTTAGCAGTGACTAACGCTCTTCGAGATGAGCATGCCTGTGGGTGCTCCCCAGCAGGTGTTGGTACATCCCAGCGCCACAGACCGGATTGTTCACAGCATTGCCTAGGGGGGCCATGCATGCACAGCGAGCAGGGCACGTGGCACCGCGCGGCACAGCTCCCTTCCCCTCAGTTCCTTCTCTACCCAGAAACCCAGCCTGATCCAGGTCTCCAAAGTAGAGGGAAGAAAAGGGAGAATAGTGGAGCACCCACACGGATGCTCATCTCGATGAACATCAGATACTGCTAAAGGTGAATAGCCTTCTCTTTGAGAGAGTGAGACGTCTCTGTGGGTGCTCCCCAGCAGGTAACTGCAAAACAATATGTCCTAAGGAGGTAGGGACTTCAGATCTGGCAGGAAAGCTGTAGATAGCACCGCTTTAGCAACCCTACTTGAGGACAGAGATCCATGAGAAAGTGCACAGTGTTTGGCAAATGTTTGATTAGAAACCCATGTGGCCAGAGCACATATGTCCTTGAGAGGAATCTTGCAGAGACAAGCCACAACCGTGTGCATGGCTCTGGAGGAATGGGCCCGTATTGAGGTGGGTGGCCTTAGGCGATTGTACTGGTAGCACATGCTGATGAAGTCAGAGATCCAATGTGATAATTTTTGAGACGATATCTGTGGTCCTTTGTTGCATTCTGGTATAGATATAAATCTTTGGGCGAAGATCCAAAAGGCCTCGTTCTGTGAATGTAAAAGAAGAGCCCTGTGGACATCCAGGGTATGCCTTTAAAGTATTGGCATGAGGTCTGGGAAAAGATACAGGTGAGTGAATGGTCTAGTTTATGTGAAATGAAGAGTGTACTTTGGGGAGGAACTTTGGATGGGTATATAGTGTGACTTTATCCTTAAAAAGGGGGGATCTTCCATCAAGGCAGCCATCTCTCCCACTCAGATATAATTGTCAGATGTAATATGTCAGATGTAATTGTCACTAAAATCCAGTTTTCATTGATAGATGGAGAAGCTAACGGCGCAATGGGCTCAAATGTAGGCTTGGGGAGAGAGTTGAGGACCAAATGTGGGTCCCATGGCTCATTCGGCAGGGTTATGTCCAGATGGAGGCCTTTCATAAAACACTTTGTCAACAGATGTGCGAAGATTGTGGTATCATCAATTTTTGTATGGAATGTTGTTATAGCTGCCGGGTACACCTTGATGGAGCTGATAGAGAGGTTCAACTGCTTTAATTGCAGGAGGCAATCAAGGATTACAGGTAATGGGGCAGTCATAGGAGAAATGTTGTGAGGGAGAGCCCAATGTATGAAACATGACCATTTGTCAGAGTACATTATTCACGTTGAGGCTGCTCTGCTATGTAAGAGTACATTGCGCACCTGCTCAGAGCACTGTAACTTTATGCTTGAGCACCATCCAGGTACCAAGCTTTCAGGTGGAACCTGAGGTACCATGGGTGTTGGATCTGTAGCCTGGATTGGTATAGCAGCCTGGGATTGCATGGCAGGGAGATTGGCGGAAATAGGGCCATTCTGATGAGGAAAGGGAACCTCAACTGTCTGGGCCTGCATGGAGCTATGAGAATGACTCTTGCCCCATCCCTCCTTATCTTGAGTATTGTGCGGTTGAGGAGGAGAATGGAGGAAGGTGAGGCATAAAGGAAGGGGTGGCTCCACTTGATGGTAAGAGCATCCCCAAGAGAGCCTTTGCCTATTCCAGCTCTGGAGCAGTATAAAGGGCACTTTTTTGGCACTTGTGACAAAAAGGTCTATTAGCGGATATCCCCCATTGACGGAAAATTGTTGCTAATGTCTCCTGGTATCTGCCACTTGTGCCTCTGAGGTAGGGCTCTACTCAGTGCATCGGCAGTGGTGTTTAAGCCACCTGAGGTAGCATGCAATTATGGTAATGCTATGCATGCAACACCAATTCCACAGGGCAATAGCCTCTGTAAGAGAGCATGGGAATGGGCACCGTGCTATCTGTTTAAATGTGCTGCTGACATTGTCGGCATGTATTGGAGCATGCAGTTTGTGGACCAGATCCCTGATTTTTGTGAATCTGTCGAGGAGCAAGGAGACTATCACTGTCCTTGAGTCAAATTGTGCCCCTATAAACTATAAGGATTGTACTGGTGTGAGCACTGACTTTGTTTCATTTATTACTAGACCCAAAGAATGGAAACAAATCATAACTATATGGGTATTGTGACAGGAATGTACTTCTGATTTCTACTTGATCAGGCAGTCATTGAGATAGGGGGAAATGATGATATTGACTTTCCTTAGGTAGGCAGTGACTACAGCAAGCATCTTGGAGAAAACCCTTGGTGCCATTGAGAGTCCAATGGTAGGACTGTGTACTGGGAGTGGTGTGTACCTACAACAAAGCAGAGAAAGCACTTGTGAGCAGGATGAATGGAGACATGAAAATAAGCTTCCTGTAAGTCGAGAGACAGAAACCAGTTGCCCAGCTCCAAAGCAGCAATGATGGTGGCCATTGTACCACCGTGAACTTTTGCCTTTTTACGTATTTGTTGAAAGCTTTAAGGTCTAGAATGGGGCACCATCCTCCATTCTTCTGAGTAAGGAAGTAGTGTGAGTAAAAACCACTCCCCTCATATCCCAGTGGGACTGCTTCTATAGAGACCAAACGGAGGAGATGGTCAACCTCCTGTTGTAAAATCTCATTGTGAGAGTGGACCCTGAT